CGTCCAGCACGGCTATAATACGAGGCAAGCGGCAAGATTGAACAACTCACGACCGGCAAGTTTAACAATTACGCTACTCTGGTGATGGAAACGGGGAAGTTTCCGAAACGTCAGTTCGAATAAAATATGGTCCATGATATCGCCCTCTCTTCTTCTTCGTCTTCTTCGGGAGATGATGAACGCGATACATATGTATATATTTATTGTCGTAAAGTTGTCCGACATTCAGGTTGCGAGACCTGGTGGTCCCGCTGCGGTTGAGCAGTCTTCAACCCACCGATCGGATAATGGAGAAGGTCGCATCTAACAGAACGACGAATCCCTGCCTCTTGTGGTTAAAGCGTTAAACAGTGACCGTAAGAACACGGGTTTGAACCTCAGCTGTGAAGAAATCAGTTTTAGTTGTCCCTTTTTACGTTAGTGGCAGGCAGCATGCTGCAGGTTTGATTTCAGTAGGAGTGACTGCTGCTGTTGTTTACTTCGGTTAATAGAATGTATTTTTATAATAATCGGGGGGGGGTAGCTGCACTACTACTATATGAACTTACTCCAAACGTCACGAATGAGAGAACAACGGCAAATCCAGCGGAGACTTCAATCTTCCAGATGCACTGTTTGTTTGGCAGGTAGTTGCTTGGATATCCGGGGCTGGTGAAAACGCCCTTGTCCGCTTTCAAGCTCTCACCGCAAACAACTGATGTGCAAAAATACATCAAAACATTTTGCAATTTTGCCTTTACCAAACCATATTCTTATCCTTCGCTATTAATTTCGGTGCACCGTATCAACAAATCATTGTATTTTATAGCATCATACATTCATTTAAAGTCCTCTGAACGAACTGTTAATTAACAAACTCCTATGGCTGCATGGCAAATGTCATTCGTACTAGTAAATCATAACGTTTAAGAAACAAGCGACGAGTGTCCCTCTATGAGAACTAACTGAAGGGCATCATGACGTCCCTTAATAGCTTAACACTTTGCTGAACTATAATTAATACTCCAGCCAATTTGATTAATATATCCACATCGAAAAAGCATTTTGTATGTTTGTAAACAATTGTTGAGTTCAGCCACTGACTGTATATGACTAATATTGTGATGCATCGGTAAAATCAATTGATGTTTATTATTCTGAAATCGGAAGTGCTTCAAACGAAACATTTTGCAGGATTGTTTCGGAATGTACTCACTGTCGCCCCTCTACGTTACTAGACGTTCATCAGAAAATAAATGAACGTCAAAGTGGTATTTAGTGCAAAATTGTCCAGTTACATTACTTCACTTGACAGACATTACTAAAGTAGCATAATCTATAAATGATCATCCGTTTGATAAATAATCATTAATTAGTACGGCCAGAAACTTTGCGTCATCTTACCGTGAACGCTCCTTACAGTGCATGATCGATCTCATAAAATGTTGACCGAAACTCTTAAATGTGTTTTCAATTAGAAAGGATTTCAAAAGTTGGTTTGTACTATTGCTTATCTTGCGGCAAAATCCTATAGTATTTAGGACTTGACAGGATGCCGGCGTTTGAATGCACTTCTTTTCGATCTCCTGCAGAAAACACAATCGGTGAAAATCGGCTACTTAAGTAACATACATTTTCCACACCGAATTTTTATGATCTCATAAACTCGAGTATATTTTATGGAAACAATGCAAAAACATGCTTTCTTTTACTCGTTTGAGAAGAGTTCACATTTTCATTATATTTTATACCAAAATAAAATGTGTATTTAGGCTTCGAAGAAGTTTTTCAATTCCCGAATAATTGCTAGCCTTATCAGTCGTTGCATTAGCGATTAACGATTTTGGTCTACAAGATGTATGCCGTCCGCGGAAGAAAAATCAATTATGTCTATGTGCTTTTAAGAAAATACTATATAGAGTTCATAAAAGTTTGCGACCAATGTGGAATATGTTGTACATTTCATAAGACGCATTGGTAAGCAGACATGTACGATGCTGCATATATGGACATTGCATGGTCTTAAAACTCGCATAACGCATATATTTTGGCGGCAATCATTGCAACCGTAAATTTTTCGCCGTGAAGTGTTGTCAGGATTGGTTAAATCGACTCATATGACCCAAACGGCCATATGCATTAGAAAAAGTGTCCAAGAAATTACTACCTGCTTTTTTAAAGAGGAAAAACAATTCCTCGTACGTCTATCACGAAACACCTCCTAGATATCAGTCATTGCGCTGACCGCCAAACATCCTTCTAAAAGTCGTTTAGACACGACAGCTCGGATATTACGCTACTTGGAAGCAGACTATATTCGGCGAAGGAAGCGTGCCCTTTACTTAAAAACGTGTGTCAACCTCAACTTGCCCTGGTAATCGACAGCTATTTGTTGTACGCACCCCATCTGCGTGCTTGATCGTAGTTTTACACTACCATAGCATTTATTTGTGTGTGTGGTTAACCATGACATTGACGTTTTGTATTATTATTTTCTGCGGTAATTCCAATATCCTTATCTTTCTCATTCGCAATATTTGACAAGCAGCGACAGGTTACAGTTTATAAGCCGTAATGAAATTTGTAAGGCTAACTAAATTCTGCTATGTATGTCTGTTCCGAATTCATACCAAGGAAGTAGGTCTCAGAATAACTTGATTCCCCTATATTTACGTGCGGAAACGCAGTTACTACTTAATTCATTTTACAAAGTATAAAGATGAATTGGAACTTTTCTGGCAGTTGCTTGTATTTTCTACTAACCTAGTTTTTAGACATTACCTCTTTCGCGAGTTAACTTAATCGTTTTGTCAGTCGATGAAAGAGGGTTTTTTTTTCTACTTGTATCTTTCCCACTCAAATAACACAAGCCTGACGTTAGTGAAGACAGTAGTTCCCTCATAGGGAATCGCAAGTAACCAAGTCCGACTTCCATCTACGCAAAAGTCGCAAACGCAGCCAAAAGACACAAGACGTACCAGTCAGCAAGTCGAGTTGCGGTGATGGCAAAGAAATTCCTGTCAGCAAATTATGGATATTAATTGACTACTCCGCAGTAATTAGTGAATTTTAGCTCGGGTATTTATATACACACCTTTGGACCGAGCCTAAAAGCCTTATTCGAAAGGAATTCACCGCAAGTTTGCACCTCACCTTCCCCGAAAATTAAATAACCCAGAGTGAAAGGAGAACGCTGAGGGTCCTGATGAGTCGAAAGACCCGCAGGTCGGTGCCTTTAGTTAGCACAAGGGCTGACAGTATAATAAGCCACTTGGTATTTGTAGACAACGGGCAGGCCACCGCACATAAATGATGTGTTTAAACAGAAGAAAAAGCGATCGCTGGAACAAGGCCCTTATTCGGCTGGCGTTTCGGATTCTCACTTGAATCCATCACCAGAGACAGTGGCAGAAATGGGTGACTCGTGCACAGGCAATCGCAGTATTTATAGGATGCAGTCGCTATGCTACCGCATACCTTTAGCAATCAACCGCGCTCCCTTTCACCAAGGATGGCTGCCCGCTGGTGCGCTAATTGCTTGATGGCCGGCATGCAAGTTGGCAATTGTTGAAATCTCATCACCCGTGTTGGATGCTGGCGTGATTATTGCTCGGCCATCCGGCTCACCGGCTTGCGCGCTCCCTGAGTGGTCAATTACTTTGGCCCGCCTATGCCTCAGCTTGGAATATTAAGTTGGCATATCGTTGCATTTGTTGATAGACCTTGTCCCCGTGAACCATGACTCAAGCAACACGCAGCACACGCGATTATCCCCTCTAGCAAGAATTTCGACCTCTTCGAACTTCAATGTGTGGCCGCGTCTCGTCAAATGGGCCGCGACCTGAGAGTGAGCACCATTTCTCCGTTGCGCTGCCATTTGTTCGGTAATTTGCGTTCGGAGCAGTCTTCCAGTTTCTCCGACACAGTTGCTTTGTCCGCAACTGCACCATATCCGGTAAACGACTCCAGATGTTTTTTTGCCGTGGCAGTGGGTCTTTTGGTCTCATCACCTGACGCCTCATGGTGGCCTCCAGTCTGTGTGCAACTCGAACCCCTAAGTGGCGCAAGAAGGCGGCTAACGGCCTCGGAGACGTGCTTGATGTACCGGATCGCTCGCTATAATTTGGGGTCGGCATGATTCTGTCTCTCGTCTCGTTTGCGCATACATTGGTTGACCGAGTTGCGCGGGTAACCATTTTCCCTGAAAACGCGTCGAAGGTCTTGGGATTCGGCAACCTTGTCTTCCGGTTCACTGCAGTGCGTCTCAACACGCCGAAATAGCGTTTCTACGCAACTGTGTTTGCGGCTGATTCGGTGGTTACTGTTGAAATTCAGAATTTGCGTCGTGTTCGTTGCTTTTCTGAACACTTTGGTCTTTAGGCCACCACAAGCTTTGCGACAGACGAAGACATCAAGGAATGCCAGAGGGTTATTTACCTCCTTCTCCAACGTTGATTGCGCAGGCACTGGTTGACGAAGTTGCGCGGGTAACCGTTTTCTCGGAAAACCCGTCGAAGATATTGGCGTTCGGCAACCTTGTCTTCCGTTTCACTGAATTGCGTCGCAACACGCCGATATAGTTTCTCAAATGACGAATTCAAGTGAGAATCCGAAACGCCAGGCGAATAAAGCCCTTGTTACATTGATCGCTTCTTCTTCTTCTTCTTCTTCTTCTTCTTCTTCTGATTAATTAGTTCATAGAAGTCACACCTTCGCTTGATGTGAATTTGTGCGGATTCAAGGAGAATTAACAACTAATCTAGTGCAATTAGTAAGTTGATCTATGCCCTCTCGTTATGAAATCTCGCGACTACTGTGTTTTACGAACGTTTTGTTAAATGTTCTTAATGCGTTAAAGTCTCCTGCTTGAGGCCGTAGTAGACTTTTTTATGTTATTTTAAGTAAACGTATTTAATATGTGCTTACTTCGGTAGTCGGCGACAAATCCGGTGCTCGATAGTCCCGCTGACCGTTTGTAATCAATCAGAATCCTTGGAGTTGCAGAAACCAACATCAGTGGCAGCTGTGATCCGCAGTATTGACCTGAGAAAGAAAGTACATTCGATTTCTAAACAGGACTAAAACGTACGCACAACACTAGCTCACCCCTTATTATCCTGCCTTAATCAATGATAAAAATTTGCTACGTGACTAGCTTGCATGTCTGTGATAATTTTCGCAGTCAGGAGTACTTACTTGATGTGGAGTTCACATAACTTTTTAAACATGTGTTCGTAGACAAAGGGCTAACTTTGTTGTGATACTTAAATTTAAATCAGTTCGGCGCCATCGCGACAGGATCGCGAACCCGGTAATATACATTTGGAAAACTTGGTTAAAAGGATTCATCCATATGTCCGTAAGAACGGCGTTCTGACAGGTGAATGGAGAGGAACCGTTGATGTGAAGAAAACAGAACACCAGTTTATGATGTTAATGAGGCATATTGACAACTATGACATACGAAATAAGCGAAAAAGCAATTACCCCGTCATATGTGTAAAAGCTTTCAAGATACCTTCGTTGCCTGCGTTGGTACATTCACACCTGCCAGCCAATCAAAAGCCTAGTTCGCGAATTCCGTAGGAATGGTGTTCGCTGACCTCTTCTGATTATTGAATCGAAAACGAAATCGACGATCCATTTGATTCCCGAAACAAACAAGCTCCCTGAATGGGTGGCAAAGGTCGTGACCAACTATCAAACTGAATTCGGCCTGACGGACACGGAGCACTTGATGAAATGGTCAGATCGCAAAAAAGAGAGGGAGGGGGATTCCCGACTTTAAACCTAGCTAGAAAGCAAACCCAGACGATGTGTGCTTGAAACACAGCAGCTTATTTTTTTTGAGCAGAACGCCGGGCGATCGACCATAAACGTTCCTGTATTAATTTTTGAAATAGCAGTCAAAAATACTGATATAAACGCGGGAAAGTTTGCAGTAAATAGCATTTCTAAAAATGTCAATGAATCACAAACGAAACTTTATCTGAATGCTCCTGCATTTATGATCGGAACAGTGTTTCATGATTTGGCAACCAGGAAAAATAAACCTTGTTAATGTCATTTGGCTACATATTCGGGGGATTATCAGTTTAAAAGGCTTCTGAAGATGAGCAAGTTTCAGATGGTAAACATACTGGGACGGCACGGCGCCACAGTCAAATTGCTTATTACTGGCCCTTTTATGATATCGAGCAGGCTACTGCTATCCTGACCAAAGTAGCAGAGTTGACACTGCCGACACGTGAAGTATGATGTATGTCGTATGTATTGTAGTATGTATGATGTAAGTAATCTGTGCCCCACGCAAAAACCAAACTGATGTGCTGCTAGTTGGACCTCGTATAGCAGGAGTGTGATGCGATAATCTTTTGCGTATTTGAAGCTGCATTCTTCCGACATTCGTTTCATCAGTTGACGGAATACATAATTTCTACAGGCTAACAGTGAGCACTTTAATCTTAGCAATTTTTAGTGTTAAAACGTTTAAGACCTGCAACAGCGATATGTTAGTCTTCAATGGAACCGCCGACTAAAAACCTTCCTGACAAAACGAGCGCAGCTGATATTGGTGGTACGTGCTCCAGACATTTTCCCCTTATACCGTGACGGCATGAGTCCAGACAAGGCTCATCGCGCATAATCGAAGCTCTTATGTTGAAATGTGGAGGCCTTACATAGCAAAACCTCACAACCTCTGTTTCTGTGAGTGGCCAATAGGTGGCACCTACGACAGAAATCTACATTCTATGGATGTTTCTGCAGATTTTGAATATTTCATATTGACATAACTTTGGAAAACTCAGCGCCTTGATGGGATTTGAACTCACAACAGCTAGGGTACGGCTTTAATAAACTTAACGCTCTAGCCAACTAAGCTACAAGACCTCCCGGGAGATGTGAGTTTAGTCACATTTGGACTAAGTTACCCGCCTAGCCTACCGCAACGTCTGAAATCCACCAAATCTGATACAGTAAACTGATTGCCCAAAAAATTAAAATTTCTCAGTTACATGAGATAATGAAATTAATTAGACGAGTCAGCCGAAACTTTGGTGGGATCCCTGTGTACGCCACGCCCTTTTATGGACAAAGTACTGCTGAAATATCGCCAGAATATTCAACAGGCGCACATTCTGACTCCATCCAGCGGCCATTAAATACTTAAACATGGTCAAACGCTGGCTGGATCACGCAAAAATAGCTGATTTATTTGCCTGACAAAACTCCCTGACCGAATTTACATATATGTATAAAGGGGCTTTGGACTGGTCTCCCAGACTGTCTACCGGGGAACCGCGTTATTTATGTAAAAGACTGTTGTTATTACGTTCCTACTCCAGCTGCAGACTTTTACAGGGAGCTTTAGACTGTTATTAACAAACTTCATCCTAAATTGCGCGTTTTATGCGTAGATCCTCGCATCAGGAATTTTTGAATCTGGTCTATCAATAATATTGAAGTAGACATTCATGAAAAGACGCATCTTTTACTATCTTCCTAACTTAAATACACCTTTTTATTCAGCCTACCTACTAGGATTTTTTGTCATCTGTTCGTCAGCTTAATAGGCAACAGAATTCACTTCAAGTAGATCCTTGGCTTATGCAAACTAAAAGTTGTGCGCTGCCGGGATTCTTTAATGCGATGCTGCCTACTTTGAGAATTCGCACATTTTACTAACGAAGTTACGCATGCCCTTTATTATATCGACCGCAAATAAGGGACATTTAATGCCCACTTTTCTATGCCTTAAATAAGAGGTATATCGCGGGAGTCTCAATCAACATCTTGTAAATTTCTTGTCCACATAGCTGAATGTCTCAGTCAACGAAATGCTTAAAAAATAAGGGGACTTGGAGAGCAGTGAACGTCATCAACCAGCTCAACATACCAATTAGAGGCGATTTGGGACAGTATCCATCTCTGACCTCAACATACTCCTCCACGCAGGAATTACTATTATCTGCAGGCATGATTGACTCCTGTTTGCCATTTTGCGATTGGTTTGCGGGCGGAAGCATGTCCATATTCCGGAAGGTTAAGTGGATACGTTCTCCACTGACGGCTACGATTCGCCACCGACAGAAGAATGAATCTAAAATGGCAGACTTGAGTTTGAAACCCTGGGCATGGGTTTAGGAGAGAACTCTGTGCATCTAGACAGCATACCTTGATTAGATGCAGCATGCGTCAAGGCGGCGTCCTCCGATTCCTGCCTTTCACCAGCGTACTGGGGAGACGCAAACGTACCGGAGTATTCCAGGAGCGTTCGACCACAGGCTTGGAAAATAAAGAGCAGTTCTACAGTATGTGACCTAGCTCATTGAGCCCGATGGTATAAAGCGAGTTCAATTATGTAAAGTTAAAACACTGCACACTTTACTTACCTGTCTAACCTATTTTGGAAAATGTTTATACTGCGTGATCAATATGCCTAAAAACTAATTTCATCGATCAGAATATTTACATATTTAAGTGGAAATCTACGCTACCTTCTCTTCCGCTGATTACTTATGCCAATAGATGTCTAAAACTAAGTTTATACCCCCGCCTGTTGGAATTTGCGAGAAAAGGGTAATCTGGACTAAGGAATTTTACCAAACCGTATAAGCCGCATGCGAACTTTGAATTATTTCACTTCGTCAGTCAAAAAAGCAAGATGTAGACATGAAGATTTTTTAGAAAGCCAAGCGTTTTATCAATTTTAAATGCTCAGATCTCAAGTCGGTCTGATGGCATGCCGTAAAGCGCAGCAAAAACGCTTACTGGCAATCGTTTGTTTAGACGTCTTGAAAATCTACTGCTCTTTTTATAAGAACAAGGACTTACAGTGGAAAGCCCTCCTTCAAGTGGCAATGTAAACTTTTAGGTTAACGATACAGTAATTTGCATGACCTAATTTCAGTAGACGCATACTCTAGGGCCGGAGCAGGCTGTAGATTAGCGGTTTTGCATTATTTTAGTATCGATAAGGTCACTTTTGTGCATTTACAATCTTTAAGCATGCCAAAAGCAAATACATATGGTAGAAAAAAGTGGGTTCTGCATTTGCATCAAAAAAGTTATCACCCATTTTCAGGGAAGTGAGAAGGTCGATGAAATGTCCCTATTTTTGCCTTAGGTTTGTCATGAAGCAATGTCAGTTACACAAATATCTGTCAGCAGGACAACTAATGAATGCGCTTTTAAATTTGAAACGTATAGGTGGCAGTTTATTGATTGAGTTCAGGCATATTCATTACAATTTATCCATTTTTCTCGGCGATTAGTTCTCATAATTGGGCAAGTATAAAAATATGACGTGTGTTGGCATCTTTTCCAAAACCGCCGGCTGTTGGATACCCGAAATAGTCAACATTATTATTCGTAAAGAACAGTTAATTGCAAACTGCAGAAAAAGACTACTTTCAATGGTTATTCTACTTTTGCTGTTTTGTTTACTCGTCATCTGCATGGACAGGCCGTCGATACATCGAAAACCTGACGATTTTCAGGTGGTATTTATGAAAAGCGTACTATTAAATTTTGGCATTTCTTTTATGCCTTCAAGTCGCTTAACGTCGTTCATCATTATCATCAAACTTTGGTCCACATGCTCGTCCCGGTTTGCGAATTATTGCATGTCCATTTTGCAGTTCGGCATATTTCTTGAGGTAAATCAACTAGTATGTTGACCGAGTTACTGAACAGCTTTACAACAAATATCATTAGGTGCGCATGCGAATAAAATGAGAAATTCTGAAAAGGAGAATTATAAAAGATACTATACATAGACCATATCTTAGACACACAATATTGGACGGTTCTTTTTACACCAGAATTTCAATGAAACATGAAAATGGCCGGATCAGCACGTAGTTTGGTGGAAAATGTGTGCGAGAACGGACAGACGCGATTTTATTTTGATGATTACAGTGGTAATTTTGAACTCACAAAATTTATGGAATAATATTATTGCGATAAAAACGCCAACACCAGCTCTAATTATGACAAAATGCTGATATGTTTCATAAGTGTAAATGTTACATGACACATCTACATTGTGGCTGATGCATTTTCAAGGCATCTTTTGCATTTCATCTTGGCCATGCCATCAAGTTTATGAGACCGACTAATAGCCATGACTTGCGGTCAATGGCAGATCTCATAAAATATCAGTCGGAATTCTGAAATGCGTTTCTTTCTAGGGAGAACTACGTTGAATGGCTTATAGTATTGTTATTATACGGCAAAATCCCATGACATTTTGGGTTAGTAATTATGATGAGCTTCAAAATCACCATATTTGATCTTTTAACAAGACCCCTACCCAAGTAGAATGCATTTTTACATTGATTTTTGGTGAAATTAATAAATCGAACACATTTGACGGAAAAAAGGCACAAACATTATCCTTCTTCTACTCTTCGGATAATCGCATATGCTTTTGCCAAATGTTATGCTCGAGGAAAGTATATCTTTCGGTTTGATTTTGGTCTGCGATACCATTGGCGCTTAGCTTTTTCAGCCTACAAGAGGCATACTTTTCGTGCACTAAAAGTTATGCACTAGTCTATGCATTTCTGGGAATGTCATGAAAAGTTCGGAAACTTTGTAATTAACGTGGATGTGAAGAGGGGCACTAATAAACAAAGATGTACCACCCTGTATAAATGGAGATCACGTCTTTTCAGAAATCAAATTATTAGGATTTTTTTACAATCGAGATAATGTTTGAGGAAGACATGGCTTGTTGTTGAATAAGTACGACGGAAGCATTTTTGCTTCTGTTGTCCATACATATATGTTTGAATCTACAAGGTCATCGAAAATCAGTGGAATGTATTCATACTGTTTAGGTGGCACATTCTACTGAGTGGGCTATTTATAGGAGTGAGAATAGTGGTTTATTCGAAGATCAATATACAATCAAATACGAAATATTATTGGATTATACCGTACGTGATACACTATTCCAACGCTATGTAAGTAATCCTTTCTAATCTGAAACGCATTTCAAAATCTTGGCCAATATTCCATGAAATCGATTACTAATCGTATGCGTCAAACACATTGCGTAATGTCACACTATATTACATCTAATATTCATATGTATAAGAATGCCGATCCTTGCACGCCTTCTTGGCGTATATAGCTATCTGTATTTTTTCAAACTTTTAATTGCTTATGAATCTTCTCGACACAAACGCGACCGAAAGTGAGTGACTATAGTACCTCGAGTGCTCGGAGAGATCGAGGAACATCAGTCAGACACAGCACACTAAAACGGTAATGTGAAGCGAATAGTGAGTTCAGCCAAACTAACGCCCAGAAAATGCCGCAAGTACATACAAGCATAATTCCGCTTACAAGGGCATTTGTAGAGCTTGTTCACCTGCCTGAAGTCGCGCGCGCTAGGTTGTGTTGCCTCTCCAATTACCGGGCGGGGACAGCACTGCTTTGGTCTTATGGTTTCGTTCTTGCCGGGCTTAGCAAAGGCATCCTTTCGGAAGTGCATAATGGAGCTATAGTCGTATTCTTCACCGAGAGAATCCACATCAGCACGCGTCAGCTTCTCAAAATGGCGCAGCATACCGGGCTGAATGTTTTCTTTGATAATCTCCACGTAATCTGTCAAAAGAACAGGGTACAGAACAGGATGTTAGAGCATGTTTTGCTGAATGTGCGATGTAAACCACGTTCGGCATCGCCAGATTATTAATTAAGTATGACATATACTGTTATTATATTTGGCAAACTTGGACTGATTTATGTCCGGAGTATGTGAGCTCAAACTATTATTACTTGTTCCTTGGCATGCCTAAGCAGAGCATTCTGAACAACATTCGTTAGCTTGCGTTTCCGAAAAAAACCTGGCAATGAGATGTTAGGACTAAGGAAGGGTAAATACGCATTTATAATGTGTGTCGAGAATTTCGCATGTATATATCCTGCACAAACTCACCATCGCGGTCGGGTCGGATGTGTTCATACCAAAATCCCAAAATATGTCCAAGTTCCTGTATGACTCCTGCATCACTCTCACAGTCTGGCGCGACAGAAATGGTTTGTAGCCCGCTATTGCTCTGACGGCCGACATGCGAGCAACATCTGAAGTTATTTGAAAACAAGAAGACTCCTTTAATAGCTAACTCTTTCGATTTGTTAAATGTGTCTGCAATATTTTGACTCCCTACTATGCCTCAACCACGCCTCAACTTACAACTGCAAACTGTCCAAAACACAAAAGTGAGCAGTATGGCGATTGCATCTTCTGCTTTTACACGTTCCGCATTAATTTTACGTGGGAGAATCTATCCAGCAGAATGTTATACAATACACCAATAACAGCACTACTTTTGCGAGCGACGAAGTTCAACTCCTGCTTCACAGAGTGAACGCGGCAATTATTATTTATAGTGAAGCGAAACTACGCAGCATCTACCGCACTCTCTCTTTCCTCAACCATTTTGTTCTGATTTTAAGAGAAGGTCCGGACGACTGAATGAGGGCTCAGACGTTGCATGAGACAATTTTAGTGAGCAAAAATTAACGGAACTTGAAGTTTTGGATTAACGACTTAGGTCCTGTCCTCATTGACTCATTCAAAGTCAGGGGAAGCTCTCGTCAGACCTCCTAAGATGCGTTCAAGGCTGACCTCTGACATCCGTCGTCTCTGCAGAAAACGACACAAATGATTTCGGGCGGCAAAACTGGGGCGTCAATTTGAATACAACAGAAGTCCATCAAAATATGATCCTAAAACCTATTACGCAGGCGTAGAGGAGGCGGGGAAATCTGACACAGTCATCGGGTATCTTTTTTTCTAAGCTGCTGGCTAAATATTTGTACCTTTACAATTGTGCCGCATGCTTGTTATGGACGGTGAATAAAAGTCCTAGAAAAACGTGGAGACTCGCAGATGCTTTCAGTTCCTATTGCAACTTGCCGAACGTCCCAACAATTCCTCCACACCGTGAACTGAGACGTTCACTGAGAAAATATAGATGTCAAAAACGTTCACGAAGGTGATGGTCATACATTTCCTCGATGGCATAGTGAGACACTTGGCGCCCAATGCGTTCACACCCAGATGTCCCCTCCAGAGAAAGCGGGACAAAGAAGAGCTGCGTCCACGCGATGATCCCGGTTCAAATTCATGATAAATTTGTGCGAAGGCCTACCGAGAAAATCGAGCAGACATCCAACGTGAACTACTAAATACAACGCAGGCCATCACAAGCACCTGTACACATCCGGCCTTCTCTCCGACGTCGACAGGGCATAAAGCAGCCCTTCATAGACGCCGTGAAAACGCAATCTTCGGAATGACTGTAAAGACGTCAGCTGTCATTAACGGACATCAACTGTCGCTGTCCTGTTTATTCGAATTCGCGGCCAGTTTCAGTGATAATCGCTTCAGAATCAAAGATTGTCACCTTTGACATGGATGCGCGAGTACCCTGCAAAATCAGGACGGGTTGACATGGACAATTATGAGTGACAGCGAACATGAAGTGACCGGGATGGATCGCAGCCACTTTTATGCTCAGATCGACTACGATGCGGAACATTCATGTCATTTTGGGCGAATTTAAGTACAATGAAGCCCGATGGACGGTTGGGGATTTAAATCCTATATTTAATGTCGTTTTAGGCACTCGCGGTTGAAGGAAAGATAGGGCAGCTACCAGAGCACATTGATAACTTCCCGCAAGAACAACAGTCAGGCTTGATGAGAAGACGTCAAATCCAGAGCCGAAACCACCAGGTTGACTGACTAGAGGAGGTCAAGGATCGGCGGCAGTCAGGACAGAATGATGTGAGGCGGATCGATGTCGTCAGCTTTCATTCCTAAATACTTCGCACTGTAAAAGAAAGTTTAGATCTCGCAACGGCCCTGTTAGACACCTTCGGATTCTATAGAGAGCTATCACTAGAAAACCATCACCTTCTCTGACGCACTCAACTTGGGTTCTCTTGAGCTTGTCTCGGTGGCGTGAGGGTGGTGGTTGCAAATTTGTTCGTGCATGTCATGGCTGTGCTCATCTCCGTAGCAATAATAGGCCTCGCTATTTAAAGTTTCATAACAGCTATTTATTCCCACTATTTCTTAAGATTACAACGCCAATAGGAGCGAAGATAGCAGTCTTGAAGAAGGAGACACGATCGCCGGTACAAGGCTAATAAAGCTCTTGTCCCAACGATCGTATCTCCTTCTTTGAGATTACACGATTAAACTCGTATGTATGCATACGAGCTGTGGATATTTTACACGCGCCTGGTGTTTTAAAGTTCATTGTTGTAATAGACCGCATAGGAAGCATTAGAACAGACTTCTACAGCTCCGTCATGCAGTGGCAAATTCTCTGGAAAATTTCAATTGAATTTTTTCATCATAAGGCTTGCACATATCGTCGTACTTGGTACTTACCGCACTCACTGTTCTCTATTGTTTCGTTTCTGTTTCCAGAAAATCTGCGAGTTATGATAAGGACAGACCAGGGTGACCGATCTAGTGAAATATGAGCCGTAAGTTTGAAATCCGTTTTCTATTAGGAAAAATTTCTTAGGTGGGATTTTAACAACCATTGTCACGTAGTATATTCCCATAATATTTTGGTATTGCCCGATTCCGTTTCTTTGAGGCCCTCTGTAGTATATGCCTGCAGTTAAGGAAATGACTAGATATCAAGTATGCGGTTAGACATTTATTTTGATGACCTTATAAGTTCACATATAGCTTAAAAACAACATGGATAAACATGTGCAAACTTTCGCTCTTTTGGAAGCAATCCATGTCCCTTTGACAGTTTATACCCGATAAAAGGACACCTTTCGGTTATAAAATTTTGTAATTTTTAGCTTTCCTAAACAACTTTGCACCTGTACGTCTATTTATGATCCCGTAAAGTAAACAACATTATCCGCATCCATTGCTCAGTCTGGTTAACTATACATGATATCTTATAAAAGGCGTAAAAGAAGAGATTATTTTTTATGTGGAAAGTATACGCCCTGTATATAAGAATAGCTAAACGCTAATGCAAAAGCTGATCTGGCTAAATATTTCTCGGGAACTGATAGACATTTGAAAACCTAAATATACTCGTTTTCAAGCATGCATTGTTAAAAGGATGTGATTTGGTATCAAAAGAGTAAACAAAAGTACATTTTATTCATGTTTTCCTAAAAGTATATTTGCATTTATAATCGCATCGAAAATCAACATGAAAATGCCTACTGCATATGTAGTCGTTTTCTACCAAGATCAGGTCATGCAGAAAGCTGCAAAGAGGTGCATTCGCATACCAACGTTCCAGCGAGCCTATATTACCAAAGGATCATTTCTCGTAATAATTAATCTAACAACCTCACCCTAGTAATCTCTCTTAATTGAAAACGGATTTCAGAATTTTAGCTAGCATTCCATGGTGGCTGTCACGGACTGTTAATATCTCTGTATCTTTTAAACACAAGAGAGCGTAGCTGAACTCACGTTTGTCGCCAAACGGCATATTTTCATTGTTTTCCGCCCATTTGGTTATCATATAAGTAGCACAGCCACTTACCCACATGACTCAATTGTGAAGTGAATGTAAGACTGATGATTCGACTCCTTCTCCACGAAACTGACGCAGGTCTTGCTTTCCCACGTTCGCATCGCTCTCATGAAAGTTGCCCTAGAGGAGCCTTGGTGAAATAAAAATATCTGATTAGATAAATGCTTCGTACAATCGAATATACAGATATGCATGCCAGCGGCGGATGGTCATTCCAGTCTCCCATGCCTTTGGCAGTAATTATATCCTTTCCATATCATCCACGGCTGTGCAGCTGCTGGTTGGGCTCGAGAAAAAGCCAGGAAGACACAACGGAAAAAGTGAGTTCCGTAAGAACGATCGGTGGGCGCCCGTCTACTAACTTACATATATGAATATACTTGAAAACGGGCATCCAAAGAAATTTAATTGGAAATAAGTAAGATTCTTCGGGAATAAAATAAATTTTTATGCGTAAATTTTTGAGGCAGGTTGTTCGGCTCGTTGTCACACTTTTGGCTTACGTACATAAACAGTTAACTATTTAACCGTGTCGAACAAGTGATGCTATTGTTGTCCGAAGTCTGCACCAATGCGCGTTAATGGTTTTTCGTCATCCCGTCGGTACTGGCTGTTTGTAGCATTGGTCTGTGAGTTCCACAGCATAATGCAGCAGGGACGGTGACTTGCGGGTTAATTAATTTAAAATAATAGTTGACTTGCGTAGCGGCTATTGCACCCCTTCCTCTTCCTCCACAGTTTGGCCCGGTGCCAAAACATTGTCAATTAAGTCGGATGGGTTAGAGGTCACACGTACCTAGCATGGTGAATACGCGCAGGTAGGTGTACCATCATACCTCCTGGTCTAAAGCAAACATCTAATCGGGACTATGAACATAAACAAAACTAGGACGGTCTCGCCGGAAAATTCAAATAAAATTTGTTACGTACTCACCGGAAAATATTGGATCGATTGAATAGGGAATGATACCAAACGGCCAGACGTGCTGTTGGTTGGCCGTGACTGCTCGTCGGCTACGCCGTTTTGTCTTTTCCACAAGGACGTGTCGCCTGCGCAGTGCCATAGGAGAAGGTGGAGAAGAAAGCTCTTATTTCCACAAATTGCGAAGTGTCTTGCTTAGTCGATGTATAGACGAAGGGGCATTTCTATTAATGCAGACGTCGACTGGTGCTCATATCTGCGGGGGAATGAACTCTACTCCACCCATCTTGCGTAGACTCTTTTTAAGTCCCTGGTTGCCCAGTTACACATATGACCACAGCGACAGACTAGTTTTTAGGATTTCAGGTGATATGTGCTTTCGCAACTGTCTACCAATTTCAGACTGCCAACAGGCGTTCTAATATTCTTCGTGCACCAAGGGAATTTATTTTTCCAAATATGCATCCTCTAATCCACGATATTCTTAAGGTCAGTGACCAGACAGTCAAAAACACGTACGCGGAGGAAGAGAAGAAGAAGGCTCATTTTCACCGATTAGAAAATACCTTGCTTGTCTGACTTATAGACTGGCAGCATTACTACTACTTTAGACGATGATTACTGCTCAGAATATCCAGCTGAAGTAATGAGGATAGTCTCCGCTGTACACATCAGAAAGATCCTTCGTAGAACACTCTGGTATCACTGGGTTTTCAAAGTTCGCATATAATTACAGTGATAGACTACGTTTGCGGATTTCTACTGAAAGGTGTTTTAGCATATGTTTACCAATCCCGGTCTGGTGACAGGTGTTTCGCTACTCTCAGTGCAACCAGTGATTTTATTTCCCCCTAAAAATGCATTTTACGCCGTCCATGGTTGTTTGAGCGCATTCCTTTGCAGAGAGTGGGCTTGGCATGTCGGTCGTTGATGAGCCTCACTTGGTTCCCTCAATATTTAGCACGTACACTGTTGTAACCTGTTGTTATGCAAAATACTTAGGTGAATCGGACCTGTTTAATGAGTTGGAAAATTAAGATGTTTGAGGTGTCTTCCTTCTAACAGAACAGATAGTTCGACCGTCGCGACCAATGATTTCTACGACGGAGCATACAATAGGGTTGGTGGTATGGCGATAATTCCCGCCTGACTTTATTAAAGTTGAGGCTTACTTGCGCAGCATCTATCACACACCATCCTCCCTGATCTCATTGCACTACGGCGAGGTGGGGCCTAGTGGCTGACAAAGCGAAACGACCCTTCTGCCCATGCCACGCTGACGCACATGTTAAACCAGGTGTTCACGCAAAAGAGAAACGGCGGTTCGGATCCTCACCGGATGGAAGTACCATAGAGGCCACATTAAGAAGGAGCCATTGCAGCCATAGCATCTGCCCCGAGGAGATCGCATTTTCCCATCAGCTGAACTCCTTCTGAGGCGCTTCTTTGAATGCATCGTGACATTTTAAAATAGCGACATCTCGAGGAATATGTGCTAAGTGTCTGGCGACGGAGTCTCCAGATTCCAACTCACATACCCTCTTCCATCTCAAGGGCACCATTCGGCTGTCCGCGGCTGTCACTGATCTATCGTAGGGATGGGAAGCACCGATTTAAGGAGCTTGAACAGTCTCTCACGACGCGACCCACACACCGGGTTCTGCAGTAAGGAACACCAAAGAAGATGCTTCTTCCCTGCATGCGAGACGAATGCTCCGCAATGCAGTCATCGACCCAGGTCTCAAATCAGAAAGGCTGCCACCAAGGTTTTCTCGTCCGGCCACTGCGGTGTAAACGGGAGGCCGCCTGATGTTCGGTCATTCAAAGCCACCCAAATCGTTTAATCAGCTTTAAGTCCGATGCAGACAAGGCCTCGCTCAAGGCCCTCCGACACCTGTCTCGTCTGCACTCAGACGTCTGGACGTATGTTCTCGTCCGGCTGCCAACCTACACCAATGTGTTGTCTGTTACTTCTGTACATTATGTAGTGTCTGTGGTAGTCCGCGATTTCTTCCTCTCCGCCGCTTTGCCTAGCTGCAATTCTGTCCGATACACGCTGCCTATAGATTCGCTGCTGGGACCGCGAGAGGCTTGACATTAGTCTCGCGATTGCTCGAAACCAATCAACGCTAACTTTTCCCTGATTGGCTGGCTGATACTGAGACGGAGTGGAAAGCGCACGAACACACTGTGAGCTAAAACCCTCAACGGGAGAGAGGAACTTGCCTGAAAGACAGCTTGAGGTAACGGCATACAAAGCTGTCCGCACGCTCTTACACGTCAGTAAAGTTGTCCAACCCAATCTGTCTTCTCTGAATTCTGATTTGGGAATCTTTTTTTGTCAACCATACCATCATCTACAATTCCTCTCTTCTCTTCCTACTCAGGAGCCGGCTGGAAAGTTGTAGTGGCTAAGAACTGTTTATAATGGATGCTATCCCCTCTAATGATGCATTCCGCATGTGACTTTTACTCACTGCATTATTATGACGATTTTCACAAAGGGACGCGACTATTCTGGCTGGGTGTACCAAGCCTAGGGTAGAAATTTTTTTAAAATTATTGCTGACGGTGTCTACACCCCCAAAACAAGAGCCGACTAATTACTGGAGGCCGCGGGCGCTTCCTCTAGCACGCTGTCGAAATGATGGTGGCGCCTCGCCATTGGCTGCCCTCCTCGGACCTGATTGGTCAGTGTATGCGAGAAATCGATCAGCTTGTCTAGAGTTTGCTTCTCGAAGCCCATTGGACGGAAAACAGGCGAATCTCAATAGGATGTTATAAATACGCGTTATTTTTCAAGTTTAAATGACCTGCAGTTTTATAACGCATTTTTGTGGTAAGTCGTATTCTCCTCCTCTGCCGCACTTGTCTTGGGAATAGCAGTCGAGTGTGCGCACGCTTCGCGTGATTTCTCAGTGGAAGGCTGGATCATAGAAATTATATCATCTTACGTAGGCGCCGAAAAAAACAGACATTGAAATGAGAAATCCACGAAACAAACAAATTCAGATGGCACTTGCTTCATTGTCTGCAGAGGGGGATTGACAGAATTCGCTGAGCTCTGATCCACATCTGCTGAAAATGTGTCCCGTGTATTTTCAAATCTTGAATGTACATCAGCCCCGTGATGGCCATGTTCTGCCGGCATTGATTGCACGTCAAATTCTAAAATGGCAGTGAAACCTATGAGACTGGCTAATATTAGATTTAGAAAAATAGGTTTTTTTTAGGCAAAATCAGTAGAACCAGTTCAGATAATTACGCGGTTTTATTGACCCACCGTTGATGAATATGGCCAGTCCCTAAATTACAGCGCATTAGAGTTAGGGTTAGGTTAAAGATTATGATTTGCGTTATATTTCGGAAAGTTTTAATTTCAATTGTGGTTTGGTTTTCGGTTAGAATGGTTATGAAGAGGGTTGTGATTCTGGTTAGCAGAGTTAGGATTGAGGAGTGTGATTAGGGTTTAAAGTATTCGAATGTGAGTTGCAGTTGGGGTTAGTATTACAATTTTTAAGATACGGGTTATGATCAGAATTGGCATTGGGGTCATGGTTGGGATCAGCGTTAGAGTATGTGTTGCAGTCAGGATAAGGATTGCATTCTGGACGCGAGAGAAGGAACCCCTGGAATTTAGCGCGAGACCAGTTGTAGGACTAAGGTGAGAAGGGGCAGGTGTATCTAAATTCCTGTACCCGACCGTTTCTTCTACTGTTCCCAAGGTGACGCGGTTTTTCTAAGGATGTAAGCTTTCTCGGGAACTCAGCGGAAGGATAGATTTATTTTTATAAAAAGGGCATTTTTATGCGCTTAACTGCTTCAAATTCTGGCCATTTAGAACCCTGTTCTGCAAGGCAGCGCCGCGCACACTGGAAATTACCTCTAACAAAAAGGATCTACCATCAAATCGAAATAGTAGGCAGTAACGCCGCATGTTTTGCATAGCGGGTTTCCGCTTTTACTTTTTGAGCAAACATACTTACTAGTGTCAGAGAAAATGATGTAGGGTGTGCGCGGGTAATTGTTCTGCACCGAGTTGAATGCGTTCCTTGGCCTCCTGTGACTGCCTTCAGCGACAGAATGTAGACTGATCGTTCGCTGAGGCATCTGCTCCGCCGTTGAGTCAATCTTCTCGCCCTTTGAGCTTCTCGCAGCTTGGCCGTTGGTTGCGACTGTGAGCGAAAGGCCAAGGAGTAGGAGTAGCACGAGGAGCTTGACTGTGCAGGTGGCCAACTGCATGACTGATGACTCCGTTTTCCCAGATCTTTGCAGAAGGACCATTTTGCGGTGTGCTAGTGCCTGATTTCTGACGTTATTTATATAATATATATAGGAAGCGAGAGAAAGGACGGTAAACCACTGCTGCACTTTCTGTGCAAAGCCAAACTTAAAGCGCATTGGTTAGCTTCTTGCGCGGCACAACACCCGGGCGGGCTTGTTTGTATTTTGCTGTGACTTGCGTGACAACATAATCGAAAATGCAGTGCAACCTCGAAATCTGTAAACCAAACAATTTTGAGTGACTTCGTGGAAGAGCAAAACAACGTTCACTAAAATAGCTTTCCCCCTCTCTCGCACTCTGTTCTACGACAGAATGCAAACTTCAGATATCCTCATTTGTGGGGAACAATTGTATCCCAGTTATTTAGATCATCAGTGAAGTAGCTAGGCTCAAAAATGGACAGTCGTATTTGTCCAAAGTAAATAAGTTTTTGTGAAAACCCATGGAGCTGCTAAATACCCTAATATAAAGATATAAACACGTTAATTTAAAAAACATTCCACTGCTCAAATTGTCCTTGTTAATTAATAAAATGTCCCCAAAAAATCTTTTTTAAGTCTACAAATTGATTGAAGGACTTCTTGACAATGAACTGAGGAACTGACTTGTCAGTCTTCATGACTTACAAACACCGCTGAACACCAATTCAAAGACTTAGCGAGTAAACCGACGGCAACTTGAACTCCAGTGCACCTCATCCGGGCGGATTCATGAAAATCTCCTTCCGATTCACGAAAAATTACATTTGGGCATCAGCAATAACTGCTTCATGGTTTGCAAAAATGAACTAGTTTAGATATAAAAAAAATCTCCCAGACTGAACAGCACTGCGTTCGCAAAACGCGGCTGTAAAGTGCATTATTTTAGACAAAATAAAATATCCTACCTTGCTCATGTGATGGACCTCAGCTCAGTTATTCATAATACGCTTCGAGCCAGGTCCCGATGGGTTTAATACGATTGATTTAATTCGATTTTGCGAATTGACTTCTGGGGTAATTTAGAAGCTGGGCAGTCAAAGGTGAATAAATACAAAAAACACATGGGGAAAACTGGAGGATCCTTTGCCATGCCGAATCTCTCAGACGGGAGTAATGCATAGACAAAAAAAAATGACAAAACATGTGTCTGAGCTTTTATCTGATAACCATGCTTGCAGGATGATGATGAATCAGTCGACACTTTGCGTCACCAGTAATTCTACTGAATGAGGGTCAGGTCTTAATTAACCGGACGTCAGAGTCCTCCTCGCTTCGTTTACAATCCATAAACCGATATTTCCCTGGTCCGATGGTAGTAAGTACATCAGAGAAACCATCCCCGATACACGATAAATGACATTAAATAACAAAACTCCGTACCAGGTGGATAAGGGCGTATTTAGAAATCATTTAACCCAAATGGACCGTGGCTAGGTTTTGCATATTTTCGTAGCCCGCAGCCGCTCTCCGTTTGAAGGACAACGATGTCTTGAGATAGTGAACGACAGATAGAGTTTCGGCCGTGAAGGCACTCTTCAGTCAACCGATGGTAGGCAATAACGCAGGGTGTTACCGGCCAAGACTGTTCTGGACAGCAGTCACGTTCGTTCAATGGAGCATAGTTTGACTAAATCCGGTTGCAAGATATCATAATGTACAGCATAGGTACTAGCCAAAAGCCCAGACACGCGTGTTCCAACGCGAAGTCCGGATATTCTGTGGAGCACCCAGGGTTCCTCGTGTGCTTTTTGGTAGATATTCCAGTGCATCCCAACGAAGCATTCCGTGTGATTTACAAGGTCCTACCTAACTGGCCTAAGCGACTGGATCAGCATGAACTAACAACAACAGAAGCTATCTGCCATCAGGCCTCAGCGGCCGATTCTGTGCGCGCAGAAGAACCTCTCGCAAGCTCCGCGTCTACAGTGGGCAAGGATCGATTGACTGTATGCAGGTCTCAGCGTCTCCGCCTCTATCCTCCTCTTTCTCCTTGTGACACGACTCTACCTAACTGTCACTGTCACTAACGACCTACTGTCCCCCCTCCCCTTTCTATTTACATGCATCGTTTGTATGAAAAGACGAACCGTAATAGATTGTTCTTATCGATCGCACGTTTCAGTTTGTACATCATTCTTCTATAAATGCGCAGGCCCGATGATAATTCATCGAAAGCACGCGAATGCTCGTCCAATACTATTTAAAATTCTCAGCGTTACATAAGTAAAATTTTGTAAATTTCAGTCGGGAGTGGGGATATCCACCTCTTCGCATAACAGATAAAATGGAATTATTATAGCACCTCTCGGCCACTCTAAGTCTTCGCTGAACATAGAAAAAAAGCTTAAATCAAACTCATCCCTTTCGGCTGTCCTTTGACTTTATTTGTTTTCGGTGCCTGTTTAGTCAGGCAAAATAATTGCAAAAGTTCAAAAAATGTACGATATACACAATATAGAGATTAAAATTTGGTAGTTTTTGGGGTCATTTATATGTTACCTATCGTGAAACCTGAGGAACTTTGACATCGACCTGACATTTAAATTATATTCGTGTTAAATAAATCTGGGCGTCTGTTAGTCACCGGTGTCAGTTTATTTGTGTAGTACCTTGAAGCTGGTTGTATCGTTCGTTTGTGTCTACCAGAAGGCTTTTCATAGTTGTCTGGAATGCAGATGCAAAAAATTAATACGAATCAGGAGCACGGAGCATTAAGTGTTAAGTCACAATCAAACACAGGCTTTGATGGGACCTCGACGGGTCTTTGATAAAAATTCTTTTTTTATTTGACATTAAATCAGGTAACATATTTCTCCTGCTAATATGGCATTATTGGAATATTGGTTGGCTGTTTAATATGATCTAATACAACTTTAAATAAGTTAAATATAATCCGAATTTAGCCTTACGCAGGGCCTTATCGAAGGTCTTGTAAATATTAGTTGCTTAAGGGTTTTTAGTGCGTGGTGAGTTAGCTGATAGAAACGAGAAGGGGATATGTCGATTCATTCTATGACTATTAATGATTCTGTTTATCTTAAACTTCATCGTTTTGAGGTTTATGTTCCAGTGTTATTTACGTGGCATGCACTATCATAAACCTATTGGATCAAATTCTATATCAAAGAACTAACTTTAAGAATGTCATATTTAATTCAAAACTAAATGCGTATTACCATAGAAGAACAATTTGTTACCTTTTTTAAAGTTTTCTAGGTTTCGACTTTTTCGAATAGAACTCTGGAAGGCCTTCCAAATAGTCACAGGTCTTTTGCAATATAAATTTGATTAGCGGAACTTTTTGAATTTGGGAGTCCGTATGATATCTTTGTTATGTCTAGCGTTTCGGGGCGTTGCGGTTTGTTAGTAAGTCCATTTTGAGGAGGTTTTGGTCATGAGTGACCTTAAGCATGTACAGCCTTATCCTCGCACACATGGTTGATTCAGGACATTTTGTAAATCCCACTGAATCCTTCCGTGTGATTTACAAGGTTTAACCCAACTACCCTGAGCGACTGGGTCAGCGCTTACTGGCAACAGCAGAGGCAACTGCCACAGGCTACAGAGGCCGGTCCCGTGCGCGCCGAAGAACCTCTCCGAAGCTCAGCGTCTACTGTGGTCCACGATCGATTACATGTATGCAGGTCTCCGCGTCCCCACCTCCCCTTGTGACACGTCCCTACCTTACCCTCAAGGTCACTTACTGCCTACTATGCCCCCTCCCCTCTTTTTGCATACATCGTTTGTATGAAAAGACGAACCGTAATCGATTGTTTCCATCGCCCACACGTCTCACTTTTTACCTTGTTCCCGCATAAATGTACAGACCCGATGAGAATTCGTCGTAAGCATGCGCAATGCTCGCCAAAGCACTTCTAGGTTTAGAAATTGTTTTTTTGGCTTCTCCGGAAATTCACTGATCACTTGGAGTAAGTCGACTGAAACCAGTGTGTTTAAGCGCAAACCGAAATTTGATCTATATACGCCTGGGCTGATGCCTGTCAGGCAGAGAGTTATAACCGCGTAGTATGCCCTAATTGCCGACACGCAGTTTGTGGTACATAGTGGGGTCGACGGTACAGAGAAGCATCCCATTTAACTGTCGGTGGACTGCGAATTGTGTCATAGGAGGTTTTGTCTTAGCATATGTATACAGGCTGTTGCAGAAATTACACTGCCAACATCGATTACTTCCCACGAATTAACACCTTAATTCGAAATCCGTTATTTTGTGAAATTTATTTTTGTTTATTCTTTAATTACTACTTTTATTTCCGTAATTGTTTTGTAGCGTGGGATAAGACTTTCGTCATAAATCCAGGTAATTTCTGTGTCGTCTTTCACTTTGTCAGCTTACCGTCTAGCGTGCTGCTTCACTCATATAACTCCCTTTACCATAAATCACGTATGGCACGATCCACAGTTTATTGATAGTTCAGTCGAGTCCTTCTCTATAACGTTGTCATATTGGGTTACAGGATACCATATTGCAATATCTGCTAGAAATCAGACGGGAAGACTGGCTGATCCATCGGAGAGTTGTGTCATGCAGTGAGGGAATATCGGCGAAACCCGCAAGTCTGGGCTTTTAGCTAGTGTCTGTGCTGCTAGTATTTATCCTGTAACCCCAATATATTCTAATAGCTGCCTGTCGGCATTGAAAGAATATTACTTGCTGTTTTGGCAGATTTCAAAAAATCCCCTATGACCTAACTTTGAAAAAATATGGTGCCTCGGTGGAATTCGGAAAAACGACAGCAAGGGGAGGATTAAGTACAGCCAACGCTCTAAACATCTGTGCTACGAGACCTCACCGGAAGACGCGAGCTTAATCACATTTGGGTCGAGTTTATCCCTCCCTCCACAACCTACTGCAACGTCTGGAATCCACCAAGTCTGATACATTAAGGTGACTGCTTAAGTAGGTTTTCTTAGTTATACATTAAGAATCCACGAAATGGCTACCAGGCTCAAGTAATTAAGAGATGTTTTGGTAGATTTCAAATAATTCACTTTGA